GCTACCTTAGGTGTATGTGGCTGGCGCCTTAGCTGCTTGAGCCACAGGCGCCGAGCCAATGTTCTTAAAAGAAACTGTGCTGTTGGGTTCATTTCTTTTCTTCCCTCTCATTCCAGATGTCTGGACAGGGACATAATGGTGGGAGCTGAAGCAGCTTTTGAATCATCACATGAACCTGCCTGTTGAGATTGACAGAGCATCAAGCCACAGGGAACCAAACTGCCTGATGAATTGTGAAGCTTCTATACTTAACTGCTTACTCAGATCATACATAGAAAAGAAATCAGTGTCTGTCTTTTGGAATCATTATTGTTAGCGAAGATGTCTGTTAAACCAAGTTAATTAATATCTTAATACACCAGGTGACATTATGAGTATTGGGATTATAAGCCAAGCCATGTAAAATAAAAAATCTTAAAAAAAAACCGGTTTGATCTATGAACATCAGAAAATAAATTATTACCATCGAGAGTGACTGTGGTTGGGGTACTATTACCTGGGGTGACCAGGGAAAGCCTCTCCAAGGAGGTGACATTTGAGATGAGATGGAATGATGAGCAGGAATCATCCACGGGAAGATCAAAGGAAGGGCTTTGCATGGGGAACAAATGACACCTTCCAAGGCCCTGGAGTGGGAACAAGGTTGACAGATTCAAGGTTCAGAAAGACATACACATGTGTACCCTTCTGTTAGAAAGCTGAGAATAAGTAATTCTTGAATTCAATGTTTTTTGCTATGTATTTGTGTGTTAATAGATTCCTTTGTCAGTCTCAGAAGGCCAAGTGACTTTAATTTGCTTGTCTCCTTACTGGCATGGATGCTGGCTGGTTTCCCACACTCTCATCTTGTGCTTTGCTGAGACATCTGCTACATACTGTCCTTTGGCCTGACTGACCTAATTTAAATCCCCTGCCCACAGCCTGCTGATAAAAGCGAGGCTCATCACTGCTGCAGGGCACTCTATTTCCATCCCCTGCAGCTCAGCCGCCTCCTTCTCTCTGGTCCTGCCAGCCATGAAACCTCTTTTCCTGTTTCTTGCCATCCTTCTGGCCACAGAACCAGTGGTGTCAGGTAATTTGGGCCTCTTTCAGAGGTTGGGGGTCCTTTCTATGGGCTTCTTCTCTTTCCCTCCCCTCTTGCTGTGGGTAGTATCTGAAGCCTTTCTTCCCCTTATGCAGCTTTGAGATCATCGCATGTTAATGCTTCTCCTTGATTTTTTTTTTGCCATGGTGGTGGGATGGTAGATACTTAAATCATCTGGCACCTTAGGGTTGCAGTAGTATTCTGGTGGGAGCTTGGGAGAGGGCGTAGGGGTGGAAGATTGGGTGCAGGTTGGGGACTCTTTAAGGACTTTGGGAGATTAGGCTGAAGGCTGGGAGTCAGCTGGTAAAGGGGAGAAAAACCTTGGGTTGGAGTGATAGAGGGAATATTAGGATGGTCTGGAGGTAAGGAACTGGGCTTCCCTAAAGGCTTGGGGTGCAGTTGGAGATGGAATGGGATTTGAGCTGAGTGGAGCTGGGGCTGGGAATTAGGTTGCAAGTCAGTGCTGGTTGGTGTAGAATGTTTGAGTTCAGCTTGGTTATGGTTTGCTGCTGGGAATTGAGGTTGGTAACACAATTAGATTTGGATTCGGGGCTTGGGGCATTGAGTTGGATAAGACTAGGAGTTCTAATTTAGGTTGGGCTAGGTTTTGAGTTTGAATTGGATGACAATGGGGTTGAGGAGGACTGCAGAGTGGGTTGGGTTGTGCCTTGTTGGGCTTAAGTTAGGCAGGGTCAAGTCATGCTAAGGAGTTGGGTCTGTTGTAATGGGAGTGAATCTCCTCTGTTTCCTAACATTACAGGTGTTCATTGTTCTTTCCCTGTCATTCTCAAGCTTCACTAAGAGGGTCATTTATTAGCATTAGTTGACCCCAAAGTAAGGAGTAGGAAGTTGGGGGATAAGAAGATAGAAGGGTAGAAAGTCTGAAAAAGACTCTCCTGGAAACTTCAGGGCTCCCAACTGGAACATTGTCTCCCTTCTCTTCTCTCCTGGGACTGGGTCCAGCATTACCTAATCAACCTGCTTTCTTTCGTTCCGGCCTGTCCTCCTGGTCCTCCTAACTCCTCTTAGTGTTCCAACTAGGAATACTAGCACTGCTTACCGGCTGTTCCTATGCCCCCAAGTAGAATGTTGGATGGATGGACACTGCCGGTTGGTGTGCAATGATGATGAAGATAGCGTCATACGCTGCCGGAATCGTAAACGGTGCTGTGTCCCTAGTCGTTATTTAACAATTCAACCAGTAAGAGTTGATTGAATCCGTGGCTAGACTACTCCTCGTCCATCCATTCCAGACCAAAAAAAAAAAAGAAGACAACATAGAAATCATGGATAGAAATGTTTTCTTTCAGGTTCCTTAGTGTCCACATTCCATTAAAATGCATGAATTTGTTTCTTGTGTCTGTTGATCATAAGGAGTGATATCCCAAAGGAATGAGGGTGGGAGATTGGCAGGGTGGGGTTAAGAGGTAGTGGAGTGAAGTTCTGAGGGCTAGGTGGCCAGCAGTGGGGTGAGAAATACGGTCTTGGAGGAGGCTCCCCATTGACCAGCCCCAGGAGACGTATTGAGTCAGGAGCGGACGGAGGAGAATATGGCAGGGGCTGAGAGATTTAAAGGCATGGAGGATGCCTATGAAGGTGGGGAGAGTTGGTCCATCTTAGGAGTAAATGGGTTAGGGGTGGATGGGCTCCTGGAGATGTCAGGTGACATGTCTTCTGATGATCAAGAGCCCACAGCCCCAGGGGTCAGGAGAGTCAGAAGAACTAACGAAACATAAAGCACGTAAATTTACTCACTTATATATAAATCTATTCATTTTTCACATTCTTTCATTGATCTATCTGTTCATTTATTCACCTCAGCTCTGCCATGTACCATTGGCAGACTCTGCCTACAAAGCTCTCAGAAATTCGTCTTCCCCATCTGTAAAATTAGAATAATAGTAGAGCCCATCTCGGGATCATGGTAAGAATGGAATGAGAGAACAGAGCATAGCGCCCAGGATAAAGTAAGCCCTCAATAAACATTGATGCTGCTGTGGGTCACTGATTTATCCCAGCGCTATGGAATATGTGCTGTGTGCCTTTCAGCCATGTTAGAGTCTGGGGGAGACAGAAGCCTGTCTCAAGTGATAATTACCCAGGGAGAAGACCAACTCATGGGGAACATTCCCTGACTGTGAATCCAAAGGACTTGGGTGTTTCTCAGGCTTTATTATTCCAAGTTCTATGCTCTGGGCCTCATTTATCCAACATGGTCATTCACCTCTGACCTGCGTTCTCTGCAGCGAGATTGGGGACTGAGTGTTTTGTAAAGCATGACATAGAGACAGACAGACAGAGTTCACTTTGATCTGGGAAGACAATTTGTTCTCAAGTTGATATATCTGTTCTCAGACTCTGGAAAGAGAGACCCACCCATCCCCTCAGATCTTGGTCCTAGTCTAGGATTCCTCTGGTTAAGTCTCTTCCCAGGGGATGAGGAGTGGCTAGGGGCAAGGAGAATGGACCCACCCACCTGTGCTTTGATTAGCTGGGTCCTGGGATTGCCTGCCTGTGTCTGCTTCCAGGGACTGCACGGGCCTGTCCCCAGGGTCCACCCCTGGAGGGTGAGGTCCACTGAGTGTTCATCTTTAGACAGGAGAAGTGTCACGGTTGCTCTTGTTTGGAGGGGGTGTGGGCCAAGCAAGGGTTTGGTGAGAAGAGAGGGGAGCTGTGGGTTGGCCTGGCTGCCCTCAGGCTGCCATGTTCCTGCATGGTGCTCTGAGGCATCTGGGAATTATAAATTTAAATCTTACCTTTCAGGTTGTTATGAGGGGCCATCTCATAAAAAGAGATAGAATGTATTTTATTCATCCTTTTCATTAGCTCAATGCATAACTTTTTAAAAGTATTCAGACGTATGTTACAATGGCCTTCATGTGCGTTCTTGCCTTATGTCCTGCAAATGTTAGGATTATACTTGGTATTTGGATCCTTCTCTGGGCTTACAACCCATTTCTATTTAAAACATTTTTAAATTTTTAATCCACACATAACAATGGTATGTATTTATGATACAGAGAGCTATTTTGATACATGTATGAAATGTATGTCAAATCTGGGTAATTGGGATATCTATCACCTCCAACATTTATCATTTCTTTGTGTGTCATTCAAAATCTTCTCTTCTAGCTATTTGGAAATATACAATAAATTATCACTAACTACGGGCAACCTACAGTGCTCTAGAACACTAGAACTTGTTTTTCCTGTCCAGCTGTATTTGGTACCCCTTAACCAGCTTCTCCCTCCCTTCCCAGCCTCCTGACCACAAGTCTACTCTCTAGTTCTGTGAGATCAACTCTTTTAGCTTCCACAGATGTGTAAGAACAAGTGGTATTTGGCTTTCTGTGCTGACTCATTTTATTTGACACAATGACCTCCAGGCTCATCCATGTTGCCATGATGACAGGATTTCATTCTTTCTTCTGGCTGAATAGTATTCCATTGTGTACAGGGACCGCACTTTATCCATTCATCTGTTCCCAGATGCTTAGGTTCACAGGCCATTTCTGCCCCCACCAGAGGCAGGGGCTGTGTAATCTGTATCTTCACAGTGTTGATGTCTGTCTATGTGTTGATCTCAGGCTGCACGCAGAAGCTACCCGTGCCCTGATGCCTGGGGTGAGACCACCCCAAATGCTTTCTTGCCGGCCTCACTGCACCTAGCTTTTCTCTGTGTTAATGTCTATCAACAGGGATTCTTTCTTGGAAATTCACCTGACCATGCCACTCTCCTGCTTAGAGAGTTTCCTTTGCTCCTCACTGCCCAGGGTCTGGCCTTCAAGGCCTTCACATGGTGGCCCAGCTTCATGCCTGCTGACCTCCCCTAACAGGTCTTCTCTTCAGCCACACAGCCCTCCCGCCGTCCCTTCCTGCCCCCTCACATTGCCTTTGTTCATGGCTCCCCTCCAGTTTATCCTCAGCATTGGCTCATCTCTGCGACAGTCACTGGTCTCATCCTTCAAAGCTCAGTTGGCACTCCATCTAGGAAAGCCTTCACACGGCCTCACTATTTCTTAATAATAAAAAAGCTCTCGTTGGCACTTGCTATGTGTCATTCTATTCTTACAATAATCCTCATATTATCTTTGTGTTACTAATCATCCTTGTGTTACTATGAGGCCCAGAGAGGTGATAGAATTAGCTGAAGTCACACAGCATTAAGATAGAACAGAGATCCTGAGTTTTTTCCCCTTTGTTATTTGTCTTGTTTTCTTTAACACTGAGCAGGTACTGAACTGCCGCAGAGTAAATAGACATTTGATTCTCACTTGATTCTGAATATTCTATAAAAAAGGAACTATTTCTCAGGGAAGGTGAATCAGAGATCTGGAGTAGAGAAAAGATTTTTAAGTTGAGACAGTCGTGAGGCTTGAGATGACACCATTCCTTGCCTCCTTTAGACTTTGTTCAGTTTCTATCTAGTGACATAAATCAGTCTTGTCCTGGTAGTGTGTTGATTTGTGTTCCCGGGGCCTAAGGCAGAAATGCTTGTTGTCTTATACAGTCATTACTGATTTAGGAGAGACCAGTAGCTTTTTTTTTGCAAAGCAAATTTCAATTTTGTTATGAAATCTTTGCAGTACCATTGTCTAAATTCTGTTGGGAGGTGTCTTCTGGTGTCTATGTTTTTTTTTTTTTTTTTGAGACAGAGCCTCAAGCTGTCCCCCAGGGTAGAGTGCCGTGGCATTACAGCTCACAGCAACCTCCAATTCCTGGGCTCAAGCGAGTCTCTTGCCTCTGCCTCCCAAGTAGCTGGGACCACAGGCGCCCGCCACAATGCCCAGCTATTTTTTGGTTGCAACCGTCATTGTTGTTTGGTGGGTCCGGGCTGGGGATTCGAACCCGCCACCTTAGGTGTACATGGCTGGTGCCTTAGCCGGTTGAGCTATAGGTGCCGAGCCTGTTTTTTTTTTTTTTTAAATAGAAGGCAGAGATAAGTTGAAAACAGAAACATAAAAATGATGATGTTAGTCATAATGGTAAAATGACCCATGAGGCCATCAAACTCTCATGACATGTGAGCAGTAGAAAAACTCTAAGTCTATGAACATGAGAAAAAATTTCAAAGCAGTCATGTTACGAGTCTGCATTTCGTGTGTTTAGGTAGGAAAATATCAGCCGGGAGGAATCTTGATTGATCTTGATCAACCCGCATGTGGAACAGAGGACGTTTCTCTCCGAATTCCAATTTTCAAGTTGGAGAGATCTGCCTTAATTGGACATTTTATACTGTGGTGTGACTCACTTCTTCGGTATCTACTATGATTTGGTTTTCCCACACCACATCTATTACGGTTTCATTTTGATTCTCAGGCCTTCATACAAGCAAGTGTTTCCTTCGTCTTGTAGTTACTCTTTAGAAGCTCCAGTTGGTAATCAAATCTCTCAGTAGGTTTACTTCTGAAAGTATTTAAATGTATGCTTATACACTAAAGAAACTTCGCATTTGCAGCAGATGGATGGGACTCATGGAAAGCATTCTGTTAAGTGAAATAAGCCAAGCATGATCCCACTCACATGTGGGAGCTTCAAAGTGGATTTCACGAATAGAGAAAATAGAATGGTGGTTCTCCAATAGAATGCTGGGAAGAGGGCAGGGTGAAGGGAAAATAATAGAATATCAACGTATTTACTATCACTGAACTGTTCACTTAAAGTGGTAAAGATGATAAATTATATGTTACCAAAAAAAAAAAGAAAAAAGAAAAGAAAAACCCAGAAATTTTAGCTAAGTATGAAGATCCAGCCTGAATGATAATTTTTCTTAGCACCCAATATTTGTTTCTTTTCTTTTTTTTTTTTTTTTTTAGAGAGAGAGTCTTGCTTTGTTGCCCTTGGTAGAGTGCTGTGGCATCACAGCTCACAGCAACCTCCAGCTCTTGGGCTTAGGTGATTCTCTTGCCTCAGCCTCCCGAGTAGCTGGGACTACAGGTGCCCACCACAACACCTCGCTATTTTTTTGCTGCAGTTTGGCCGGGGTGGGGTTCGAACCCACCACCCTCTGTATCTGGGGCTGGTGCCCTACTCACTGAGCCACAGGCGCCACCCCAATATTTGTTTCTTTATTTACTAGCTTTTTTATAGGCTGTGGAAATTTCGATCTTACCTGTGTAAGTTCTTTATCTTTCTTCAAACTGAGCTCTGGTCAGCTTTGCCAACTGTCACTCTTATGAAGTTATGACACATATTATGTTAATTGTGTAATTATTGAGTCATGGTCCCCTTTCTGCCAACCCCCCAAACACACACATGCGAGATAGAAATCCTTAGGGGCTGAGACAATATTTTATGTAAACATCTATGTGCCTGGTATTAAGCTCCATGCCACGCGTGAATGCAATTTTGTGAGTGTTTCTTGATTGAAGGAATAGAGGCATGATGGATTCAAGAGTGAAAGAATGAATGGATTTGGTGGGGGCATTTCAAATGGCTGAGTGTGGGTACTAGAAATCTGGGTGGGATCCTTTCTGGGCTAGAGAGAGCAGAGGACCACTGCAGTAGGAACTCGGGTTTGAAAAGATGCGGAGGAGTTCTCGGGTCTTGCTCAAGTAGGCTCTTAGTATTTCCTTTAGTTTACTATTAAAACACAC